GGGGGGGGGGGAGTATGAGAAGGAGGAAGAGGTCATATCATAGCTCATGGGGATGCTTTTGTAGGTGAGCTGGATCATCGGGCCCTTGACGCATTGATCATCGGCGATACGATGCGAAAATGTCTTAGCAGTTGTCCCGTGTAACTCTTCTGTTTGTTTAACCATTGGTCCTGCCAACTATATATCATAAACTCCTCATTCACGCAAACGGATCGACTCGAACTTGTGAATCAGTAACTTGCAAGTTTGCTCCGACCGGCGAGGCACAACTGCCGCGCCCGGTTTCAAGGCTGACAGACCGGGCCCCCCGCACGTAGTAGTGACTCTGTAGTCACGGTGACTATCAGTGACTACCAGGGCCGGCCGGGCCCCCGGCCTGACACCCGGGAGGCTCCGAGGCTACCGGCGTGGCATGACTCCGAGTCCGACTCAGCCTGACCGCCACTGGCTATTCAGGGCCTTTTACTCAAAGTTAAGTTAAAAACAGTACGAGGACAGGCTGAGGCAAAAAAATCCTTTACAGTTTCTTTCTTTCCTCGTAATAAAGAGATCCGCCAAACATGCTGGTCGACGGAAAGCGCTATCGGACGATATGGCTGAAAGAGCAGGACAGCGAAGTTGTGCAGGTACGATGGAGAGGGAGGGAGAAGGAGAGTAGAGTTAGAAGGGGAGAGAAGGAGGAAGGGAGGAGAGAAGAGAGCTGAGGGAGGAGCGAAAGAGAAATTTACAAGGGAGGAAGGAAATGAGTTGATCAGAGTACTTAACCGACAGGTCGTTTTCTTGCTGAATGTCATATGCAGATAATTGACCAGCGGTACCTGCCTCATCAGTTCGTGATCGAGGACATTTGTAATCATGAAGAGATGGCGATTGTATGTTTCAACCTATCTTACTACTTTCTGACTTTCTATGCTCTACAACCATTAGGCTATCAAGGACATGCACGTTCGGGGAGCAGGTCTCATTGGTGCAGCAGCAGGATATGGCATGTTTCTTGCAGCCCTGAAGGTGTGTGACTGTCAGAAATTCTTGAATCTTTCCCTTTGGTTGTCATTTGACATTGTTGTTGTGCTTTTGATAATATCTGTGTTTGATGGTCACTGCCTTGGTTGTTACCTCCTTTCATGAAATCTCGCAGAGCACTGAATGTGAGCTTCAGGCACCAAAGACATCTCCAGAAGAGCATCTAACGTTTGTGGAAGAAGCTGGTCTGTTCCTCAAGGTATACACACATTTCTGAAACCAGGGAGGGAGGGAGAGCGGGAAGGAGGGAGGGAGGGAGAGGAAGCCGGAAAGTGTATGAGAGATTGTATGTGAGAGATTGTTTCATGGGTGTGAGGAAAAAGAATAGGAAAGATCCAAGTTCTACAACCTCTTACTGTTTCCTTCCAGTCTACACGCCCCACAGCCGTCAATCTTGAGTTTGCGGTGGAGAGGTGAAGCCTTTGAAGCCTAAGGCGCAGCTGATAGTGATATACCGCATGCAATCAGGCAGCTCAGTCACATGAAGGGCATCAGCGACGTCGAGGAGAGAGTTCGAGCTTGCAGGGAGATGGCTGGGGTGATTGCAGATGAAGATGCACAGTTCTGCTCCAAGATCGGGCAGCATGGCGTGACGATCATTGAGGAGATCTACAAGAAGAAGGTTGCTACTGTGCTTCCCTCCTGAGAATGAGGGCTCCTTGTTCCGACGACTGCGATCCTCCTCCTCCTCCTCCTCTTCTTCCTCCTCCTTCTCCTCCTCCTTCTCCCTCACCTGCGTCTCAGGGTGCTCCTGTCAACATCCTCACCCACTGCAACGCCGGCTGGTTGGCCTTCGTCGACGTCGGATCCGCCACGGCCCCGATCTACGAGGCTCATAACCGTAACATCCCCATCCATGTCTATGTGGACGAGACGCGTCCTCCGGAACCCACGGTCCCCCCCTCCCCTCCCCTCCCCTCCCTCCCTCCCTCCCTCCCCTGCTCCTGCTCGCTCGCTCGCTCCTTCTCGCTCTCTCTCTCCCCGCTCATTCCCTCCCCACTCCTCCTGTTCCCCTTGCTTCTTGCTCATTCATCTCGCCCCATTGCTCTCATCACCTCCTTCTACGCTCTTCCTCTCTCTTCTCTGCTACCTCCATCCTCCTTCCTCCATCCTTTCCTCCCTCCTTCTGTTTCCTCCTCCTACTTCTCGTTCTAGTCGACCTTTTCTTCATCTGACCCCCTTCCTCTCTTTCATCTCCTCCTATTGTACGATCGCCCCTCGTTCGTGTCCTCATTCTTTCCCCCTCCTTCCTATCTCCTCTGATCCCACGGCAGGGAGCCAGTCTGACCGCCTGGGAGCTCTCAAAGCACGGGGTCAAGCACACCATTATCGCCGACAACGTGGGCGGACATCTCATGCAACACGGTCACTCCTGCTGCTGCTGCTGCTGCTGCTGCTGCTGCTGCTGCTGCTGCTG